CTGCCTTGTATTACCTCTATAATAAATCGATCGCTAGAGGTTGGAGAGTTCCCTGCCACCTTCAAGCATGGCCTTGTAACACCTTTATTGAAAAAATCTGATCTCGACCATGAAATACTGAAGAACTACCATCCAATCAGCAACCTTCCCTTCCTTGGTAAGATGATCGAACGCGTAGTAGCAATGCAGTTTAAGCACCGTCTGCTCATCAATAACCTGTATACCAAAACTCAGTCAGCTTACCGTGCATATCATAGCACCAAAACAGCCTTGCTGTGAGTTTCCAACGACATCAACTTAGCGCTTGACAATCACGATGATGTTGTTCTAGTCTTGCTTGACTTATCGTCTGCCTTCGACACCATAGACCATAGTGTCCTTATGGATAGGTTACACACCCGGTTTGGTCTGAGAGGTACTGCCCTGGCTTGGATCAAATCGTATCTGACAAATCACTCGCAGGCGGTTGTTATCAAAGATGTTCACTCTTTTTCTGCTAACTTAATCTGTGGTGTTCCTCAGGGTTCAGTGCTGGGCCCGCTGCTGTTCTCCCTCTACGTTGCGCCCATTGAAGATATAATCATGGCCCATGGCCTCCAGTCCATGATATTTGCCGATGACATGCAAATGTACTTGGTTATGCAGCGATCTGAACAATCATCTTGTTTGAGTAAGCTAGAGCTTTGTGCACAGGATATCTTATCTTGGATAGCTGATCATAAATTATTATGCAACTCATCGAAAACTGAAATTTTGCATTTTTCATCTCGTTATCTTCAGCATCAACCTATAGCCGCAGTGAATATTGCTGGTTCTGAGATGAAGACAAGCGTGAATGCCCGGGATCTTGGGGTCACTCTCGACTAGTGCTTAACGATGTCCACGCATGTAAGCAATCTTTGCAAATCTGCTTCATTTGCTCTAAGGCGTATTGGAAATATTCGTCAGTATCTTGACCAACCAAGTACAGAAAAATTGGTTCACATCTTTGTGTCCTCTAAACTGGACTACTGTAACAGTATCTTGTATGGTCTCCCTGACAAGGAAATCTCGAAAATTCAACGTGTTCAGAACTCGGCCGCCCGGGTGGTTACAAAAACAAGGAGAGTGGATCACATCACGCCAATCCTCCGCAAGCTTCACTGGCTGCCCGTGTGCAAGCGTTTCATTTTTAAGATTTTACTTTTTACTTACAAAATTTTAAACAGTTTGGCACCCTGTTACTTGGTGGAACTTACTAATCTTCGTCAACCGATAAGGTGTCTTCGTTCAAATAATGATCACCTGCGACTGCACATACCGGTGTTTAGGACAAAGACCTACAGGGGACGCGCTTTTTCATCTTGTGCGCCAGTACTGTGGAATAGCCTCCCACTTGATGTGAGAAGTGCCCCATCAGTAGATACGTATAAAACTAAGCTTAAAACGTTTTTGTTTAATAATGATCTTTAGTATTTCTATAATGAATTTTAGTATCTTATGATGAATTTTAGTATTTAATGAATTTTAGTATTTTATCATCCATTGTAATTTAATATATTTTCCTTACATTGGTTTCGTTATCGTTTTTTTGAGTCTTGGCCAGTCGCGGTTCTCTGAAAATATGACAAAAAAGGTGTGTCTAAAGGTTCAAAATAGAGAAGTTTATTCACATCAGCACTAAAAATTATATGGAATTAACACATAGGTTCTATGAGATAACACAATGTCATTTCTCCACTGTCTAAATATCATTTCAAATTCCATAACTTACAACATATTCTGCTCAGCCCCACATCACCCTGTTATTTCATGTATCATAAAGGAATCATGTCACATGGATGGAAATCTTCACTTTATAATTCCTTGTTCCTCTAGCATTACTTTAAGTCTTCCCGACTGATACAGTTCAGCTGTCTCTGATCCTCCACCAATACTGGTTCCTTTAATAAACACGTTTGGCACCGTGCCTCTTCCTGTGATGTTTTGTAAAGCTTCCTAATGAAAGAAGAGAAAGACCTACATTAGTTTAAACGACCATTGCAAAAAATTGAGTCTGGAAATAGGAAATTTGTGCTTTAGCCACATTGGGAACTGGCTTTCACAGCAAATATGTTTTTGAAACAATTGTGAAACATTTTCTTATTGTGATCTTCCAGACAACATCCATACCCCTACTCGCCTGAAGGAATCCCAGTTTAGCTTCATAACTTTCAAAAAAGACTTCTCGCCTACTCCCCCTTGGGACTACTATCAATCTTTCTTGCTGAAGGCATGGAAAATTCCTGGAACACACATTTTCAAGATGCCAGATTTGGCTCTAAAAAGGTCTTTCCAGAACAGCTGAACTGCAAATAAATATTTTTCCCACAATGTTTATATTTCTCCAATGATTCAACAAGTTCAACAGGTGAGAGGCCCTATTGAGATGGCATCACTGATAGCTCCTTTTACAAAGTTAAAAATATTACAGGACTACAGATAACTCATCAAATAAATGCTTCAAGCTTTCCTTTTTTTCCTCTCTTCTACAACCATGAAAAAAAACATCAGCCTTTCCCTGTGCAGCCGTGATTGTTATTCAGTTGATATCTTTATTTCAATCTTACAATTTAGTATCAATATGAGGGTCGTACAGGGGTATTCTCATGATGCGTGATTAGCTGATTTTATTTTCCGTGAAACATGAATTTAGGAAATTATTCTTCGTGATCCACAAACTAAAGGTTTTGCATGACCCGTAAAGAACTTAAATTATTCACCGATATTTGTGCTTTCACTACTCAATTCTAAGTGATTTTGAGTTGTGGATCCTCCGAATGGTTAGAGTTGTCTATCGAGAGTGACTTAGACATGTGATTTGCAATATGGGGCCTTGACTTAGCCTTTCATGATTTTTCTTTCTTCGAACACTCTTTCTAGTGTTAGAACAGGTTATTAAAAAGAGAATCTACCTTGCTTACATGTATTTCCATGATTAAGGAAAACGAAATTTTTATATCTGTGATCCTCTATTTTTTTTTTGTTTGTGAACCATGCCATAGACCCCCCCCCCCCCCCCCCCCC